GGGGGGGGCTCGCTTGGAAGCATTACAAGACCCCGACGCTCGCAGAATCCCAAAACATGAAGGTCCTTTTGAAAAAGTTTGTTTTCTTTAATATTTCAAACTCACTTCCTTCACTTCACCGTCCAGAAAGGTTGTAGTTTTTATCAATTGAAAAAAAAAAAAAATCGAATGAAATATTGTATTAAACGAAAAAAAGACCACATGACCAAATTTGGTGCAGTTGCTGCTAATCAGAGATGACAAAATCTGTCTGCGATTGTCTTTGCTGGTCGAGGCTACAATGACTTTTTGACAGTGAAAGTATCTCTTGCCCTTCTCACCAGCTCCTCCTTTGGCCTATTCATCGCACAAAGCTGCTTAAGCGCACTTAAGCGCATTAGCATTTGGCTGCCAGGGGACCATATTGACCCTGCATTTGGATGGCCTAAATGAGTGAAAGATGGAGCGATTTGTTAGGCTTTAGAAAGTTGCTTTTGGGGAGGTGGGGGGGGATGAAGGAATGGGGTTGAGGCAGTGTGTGTGTGTGTGTGTGGGGGGGGGGGGTCCACTTTCTGTCAGTGCACGGTGTTTGTTCTAATCTGGCGTGCCGTTTCTCCATGGCCGAAGCCGGACTGATTTGTGACATTTCAGTCTAAAGGGCCCTCCTTTGCTGCCCCGCTATATTGGCTTGACCCGATTATCTAATCTGTGCTTTGAATTTCAATCAGGTCACCCGATCTCCGCCGTGTGGTATGGGAACCGCTGGCTGAGGGATTACCTCATTCAACTGTCTTCAAACACAGATGGTCGAATGTTTAACTAATTGTTAAAAGAGTCCACAAAGGGGAATTTAACCATGCACACAGTCCATGTGGTCAGTACATAGAGCCGGACCAAGAGGGGGGACAGTGAGGTGGCGGTTTGTGGGATGGTTCTTTAAAAAAAAAACAAATCATTCAATGCGGAGCATTGTAGTGCATGGTACTGTACAAAGTGTGAACATGTTAACAAAGTCAAATACATTCTAACCATCTTTTTTCCTCATGAAGCCGTGTGTATTCCTAACAGGATTTGCCCTTCACCCTCTTTTCTTCTTCTTCTGATCACTCACTCTCCTCCTCTCTCCCCTCCAGAGTCTCTGCTCCACTGCCACCATGCAGACAGTCAGAGCCGCCGACACCAATGAAGTCGACAAACTAATATTCCGAGAAAGTGACAATGACCGAAAGGTGAGCTATAAGTCATTAAAGGGGAACACCACCTAAATTTTACAATTCCAGTATGTTATTTCCATGGCCTCGGAAGGGCCAATTCATATCTGTGAACATGTGCTACGTCTCTCCCGAAGTCACAAAACAGGGCGGTAAGTCTCAAACTTGTGATGTCATTGGATGTTAAGTCTGGAGACGCTCCATTGACAATGAATGTGGTGTTCTCGGTTGTGAAACAGAAAATGTACCCATATACTCATTCCCCTGGGTGCTCTTTGTCCCATATAACGTCTCTCCTAATTCATTAAATGTCCACACTTTATACTATTTTTAGTTTTCTCACTCTAGTTTTTTTTGGACTTAGGAGAAATGTGTTCATGTTTACTCATATGTTTAGACAATAGGAATAATATGTATGGATTTTGAAAATAGGCGTAGTTCCCCTTTGTGGCGATTCCATCGAACTGAATGGATTTGGCTGCAGAATTGCTGATGTGACGAGGCCCTGATAGGAATACAATGATGCATCTATGCTACATATTGAAAAGGGAAAATTGCACTTGTAATTAAACCATCGCTAACACTAATTATTTTTCTAGTTCTATATTCGTCATACATCTCAACCTGAGTTATTACAGGTTGTGTTAACATGCATTGTAAAGTGGTGTGATGCCTCAGTGAGACACGTGTAGAACTACCAGCGCCGTGCGCCACTACTGTTCATCAGCGCTCTAATTACAAAGTGCAGCTCACATTAGCATTGGTATTAATCAGAGCGCCGTTTCTCTCTCGCCGACGATTCAGGTTGTTCTTCAACTTGAAAAGAAGCTTTTTAATTATGTCAACCAGGACGTTTTCCGGGAAAACAATGGGACCTCGGTAAGTCACTTCCTAACCCTTTATATATCAATCTGCTCTCCCATTTCTCCACTTCCAGTTGTTTATTATACATTTCAAATCACTTCATCAGCTGTATAGACGTTCTTCTTCCAATGTATACTGACAACAGCTGCCATTTACTCCATTTCAAATTGATTATCTTTGAGCAGGACACAGCACAAAGGAATGAAAGTTAAAAGTATAAACGCAGCTACAGACAATTCATATTTAGATAGCAGGTACAGAAAGGGAAGTGTAAAGGTAAGTAAGCGTGGGTGCAAACCTCAGACATGGTGACGCTTCGGCATCTCTCTCTCTCTCTCTCTCTCTCTCTCTCTCTGTGTGCCCTCCCCCCCCTGTGGGGCCAAATGTCTTTGGAATAACTTTTATATGAGTGTAAATGAGCTGAGTGTTAAATGTCTGCAGAGAGAAAAACAGCCGCTACACATTTCCACTTTTATATGGCTGTATATTACATCAAGTAGTTCAAAGTTGGGCCTTGTTAAACAAAAAAAAAAAACACTAAGAACACACACACTTACACACACACACCCTTACTCGTCAACAGAATGGACTATGAAGCCGCTTGTCTGGGAGCTTTAGTGTCTATTCATGCTGTTGGCCTTAACAGTAAAATGTATTAACTTCAATTGGAATTGCATCCTGATCTTATCGTTTCACAAAATTTAGATTACAAGGAAATTGTATATTAGAGTTTGTTATGGTGGTTTATATGTGTGATATGAGCCACATCTTCCTTTTACTTTTGATCTGTTCTTATGTTTGCGTGACACTGACTTGATCAATGAGTATTTTTTGTCTGTGAAGGCCTGAACCTACCTGATGCTCTTTTCCAGCATTGCTCTGCTTCATGCCTGTGTACTGAATGCAGCCCCCTGTAGTCATACAAGTTGTGAAAAGGAAGTAGAATTTACTCCACTACTTCTCCCTCCTCCCGTTTCTTTGGATTTACAGGGAAAATTCTCCAACTTTTTACGTGGATGTCCAATCCCTGATGATGTAGTAGATTGAAGCCATAATTTCCTCAGTGCTGCTATATTGAATGAGAAAGCTGAGTTCTCACCTTGGATTTCTCATCTCTGCCTCTGGGTAGCCAGGTGGCGCCGTGCTGCTGAAAAACAGAACTTCCTGAACCTGATGCTCCATTTGGTAAATAAAGTTCAAAAACAGAACTTCCTTGTTTTCTTCGCTGGTGTTTTTCAAACAAATTCCTGTACGTTTACATGTACATGTAGGCACTGCCGGCACTGCTCTGCAAAAACTGGGGGGGGGGAGACTCAGCTTTCTCTGTCAACATAGCACGCACTGAGGGATTTATCATCATTTACCATCAACACTGATAGGACATCCACATAAAAATGTGGTGAATTTTCCCTTTTAAGATGAGGGGAAATGTGTCTGCACTGTAATACAATATCACACATTAACTGTGTTCTGTATGTGCTGAAGTTACACAAAGCTTACCCAGAATCCAGCGCGGTGCTGCGGGTTTAGTAACGCTTGGACGCACAATTTCATTTGTGTGAACAAGTCTGTCTGTTTGACCTACCAATTGAAAAACTAGGTTGTTTTTCGAGGGAGAAATCATCCTTAAAAACTTTTCCTAAATGAATGTTATCGTGTGATAATTGTTCCTGAATAAAAAGCATTTAAACAGACCTCTAGCGATGAAGGTCAGTCAGCTATTTAAGCAAAGATGGAATTTGAAAGACTCCGGCATGATGCTGGCAGATTACACGTTACCTTACACGTTATGATGTTGGACAGGGGAGAATCATTGAATCTGATCTGCAGAAATGTGCAGGAAGTGTAGCTGTAAGAGGCTGAGGCACCCCCCCCACCCCACCCCACCCGACTTCCTCCTCACCAAGCCTGACAAGATGGATGACATAATGGGGGCATCAGAGATAATCTGATGGTCATGGTCTAGTTAAACACACCATGTTATGATCCTTATAAAACAAACTACCTTTCCAAAAGGATAAATGTCCCTCCTCACACTCCTCCACTGGGGGAGAAGGGGGGAGTGGAGGGAGAAGAAGAAAAAAAAAATCCATTGCATCCTTCATCAACTGCAAGACTTGTACCGGCTTGACAGGAATTTAATTCGAGGCAGCTCTTGAAAATAATTATTGTATTTTGAGAGGAGTAATCATTGGCCGGGACATGATTGAATATGTCCATGCCTATTGACTTTTGCTATGATTAATAGGTTTGTTTAGTCGATATTCCCATCGAAATTGTATAATTAATTATCCCCGGCGCTGTCACGGCGGGACGATGGAGAGCCCTGATGAGTATTTGGGAAGATTAAATTTTCCAGGCGCTCGTGGCGTCAAGGGCCACCGCGGGGGCCCTGCTCCGGTGGAGAGATGGGAGGAGCGTGTTGTGTGTGTGTGTGTGTGTGTGTGTGTGTTGTGTGTGTGTGTGAACGCGGTGCGTCCTGTGCTGTGCGTCTGTAGATCCGCAGCGTTTCCTTGCTCTCCTGGAGCACACACCCTCCTCCGTCCCCATTGATTTTGTTTCAGTATCTCTTTATTGTGACTTTATCAGTGTGGTGTCGGCAGATGGGGGGGGGGGGGGGTTAGCAGGAGAAGGAGGGTGCGTTTGTGTACTGGCTGTAGCAAGTGATGAACCTTTCCTGTCTGGCCTGCCTCTCCTTGTCATGCTGGCGGCGTAGTCCTCAGCATTACTCAAAAGCCCCGGAGACGACATAGAAGAATAAAGAACAAATGCCGCTCCAGCATTTCTTTTTCCTGTCAGATCTCTTCCAGAAGCCATTCTGAATGAAATGGGACCTTATAGGATTCATATAAACTGATGCCGTACAGCGTCCCCTGGTTGTCTCTTTCTCTTTTTTTAGTCCGCCTCTCTTTGGAATGGTTTGGGAGAAGTGTTGACTGCTTACTTAGCTCTCTCAGAATAGATGGTCTACATGAGCCGCGGGCCTTGAGCTCTGTATATACTCGCGCTTGGCACGGTGGCGTGAGCCTCCGCAGATGGTGCGCAAGCTCCGAGCAGGCACGAAGGCGGGTTGATGCTCAACACGCTGCTCGGTATTCTCCGAAACGCCAGAGGGCGCGCAAACACGAAATGTGCTGTGAAGAATATTCATTGACGACTTTATCGCCTTCGTACAAGCCCTGTAAAGAAAGAAATAAAGTATTAAATGCGTTACAAAGAAACAAAGGTTGAATATCCTGTAAACTATTTTATTGGGCTGCAAAATGTATACTCAGAGTTCTGGCGCGCGCCCCTCATGACTGCTTCATTGCGGCGACTATAATCTACGCTTTATCTACTGTTATATATTTAAATTATGTTTTTTTTTTATAGGTATGACATAGTTATGCTAACAAAGCCTCTGAGTGGAGGAACAAGCCCAAATTGTGGCCTTATTTTGGAATAGTTTCTCAATGTCCTTCCTCTACATAACATGAACATGGAAGTTCAGATGTGCAGTGCACTGTAGTGTTTTTGTGTTTGGGTTGGTCCCTCTCCACAACAATCAGTCCCCCCCCCCCAGTGTCAGTGTCAGTTTATCGCTTTTCACACAAAATAATGAAGATCCCATAAAAAGAAGGAAAAATATGGCCTCCTGCAATGAAAGCCAAGTGCGCGGTGTAAAAATCAAATTAAATGACCTTTCACCCCAACATTTATTGATGGCTTTTAATGGCAGCAGGTGTTGTCACAGGGGATATTTGACAATGCGTAAATCAAAGCACAATTACAGGTGGTGGACAAACCGCCATCATAGTGAGAGGGAACAGTGAGAGGGGGTGCAAAGCCCTCGTATTAACTTCTTTTTTATATTTTCTTTTACCCTCAACTTCCTGCTGCTTGGCCATCACTGCCACTCTGATTTAAGAGCTCACCGATCGTCCAGGCAAAGTCAGAAATTTGAGCCCATGACAGGGTAGTTTTTATCCAGACACTTCTTCATCTTTTTCCCTCTGTGATATTGCCGAGGCTGCATCATCTCGCGCCACCTCCTCCACAACTCCCAAGGTCATTTCTGGTTGACAAACTACTCCTGGCCTTATGTCACGAGGCCTTCAACCAATAGAAGCTGTTTTTTTTGGGTTTTTTTAAACCACTGACCTGGCAGAGCATTATGCCTAATTGACCTGGGATGAAATGTGGTGTGAAATTTGTTGCTGCGGGGTTTTTATTCACCTGAATGAATTACTCGACATTCACTTAAGGCACAGTCTCTGTAGACACACACGGCCACATGTTGGTCATCCCCCGTTTAAACTGTCGCACTCGTATAAACTGAGGTGCTTTACCTCAACACTGTTCATGTGTGTGCCTATAGAAAATGGTTAATTATTGATTTGGGCACTCACCATTATACTAGTATGAGCATGTAGACTCTTATGCTGGGTTCAGACTACACAATATTAGCCCAATTATAGCCCTGCCCCACACACTGTTTATAGGAAGTGGACGTACTCACAGTGATGTCACCCATTGCTTTGTGGACTGCTGTTTTGAAGCCTAAAGTTTGGCATTTTGGCCGTCGCCATCTTGGCTTTTTGCAACCAGAAGTGACACAAGAGGGCGGAGCTAAGTACAACCGAATGCTGAATAAGACGAGCTGAAAGATTACAATTTGCTTTCATTAACTGAAAACAAGGGTGAAAGTTGTAAGACGAAAATGCGTACAACTCTCAGACCAGACAATGCTGTCGTAGTAACCTGTCAATCACAAGGTAGCCACACCCTAAAACATAATCTGCTTTATGGTCTATTATACTCTAAATAGGACCATAAATTACTAAATGAACATCATGCTGTATTGAAGAAGATGTGAAACTAGAGATTGAGACCATAAACTCATGTTTACAATGTTTACTGAGGTAATAAATCAAGTGAGAAGTAGAGTCATTTTCTCATAGACATTTGTACAATTGGACTTATTTTTGCAACCAGAGGAGTCGCCCCCTGCTGGCCACTAGAGACAATGCTTTCAGCCATTTCTACATTGGCTTCACAGTTGGAGGTTGCTGGGTCGGATCCTGATGCATCCAACATTCCGACAGAAAGTCTAGAAGCCTCATGACGTTTTCCAATGAAGGTCGAGGAAAACTGGTTCTGAAAAAACACAGGACGCAATGCTTTGGACTATTCGACCGCAGCAGTCTTTTAGCAAAATACCATGTATACCTAGCCATCAAGTGTATATTTAACATGCCCTTTACAGGGTTCTGGTTTTCGAAAGGAGTCAGTTTGAAACATTAACAAATCAGCCAGAAACAGCGTTTCAACCAACTCATAATGCTTAACGTTAGCTTAGCTAGCTAGCTACAGCTAATAAATTCCGCTAGCAACAGCTGTCTTTTTAGACAACTAAATAAACGGTCACCGGCTAGAGATGAGAGGCTTGCTTTTGTCTTCCTCTGTCTGAAATCAGGAATCCATTGTTTCAAAATGACTTAAGATTTTCAAGTGGTAAATCTAGCAACAGTAACTAAGTTGGGCTGGGCCTTAGCAAACAGTTTTATGATATATATATTTTATTTAAAAGTTTTATTTTCATAATGTATTATCTCAAAATTATTGGTATTGCTATCAGCCTGTCAGGCTGCAACACACACACACACACACACACACGAGGTGTCAGCGGGTGAATGGCGAGATGGGGTGTACAGTGGAGCGTGGGGTTGCATCCCCTGCTCAGTCATCCCTCATCCACAGTGTGCGAGTCTCTCCTGTGACCCCGGCAGTGTGAGTTTGATGAATGCAGCACATCTGCCCTCCTGAACCGCCGAGACTCCGTCTGGGAGGCCCCTCTGCCTGCAAGTAATGGCCACTGTTCTACACCACTGACACGTAATCACACTCTCACACACACACACACACACACACACACACACACACACACACACACACCGGACTTTGGCTTATTTTATTTTTGTATACATGTGCACTTAACGGCACCGCGAAGACAAACAATCCATACGCGGTCATACATGCGCAACATAAATATGTCAGTGTAGATGGAAGACTGTAGTTACCTTCTGCTGATATTACATCCTTCCTCCCATGCCTCCACTTTGTGAGGACGTCCTTCCGAGCATTACCCATGTGCACCGCGTCATCCCCCCTATATGATATTTCATCATGTAGCCATCAACACATCGCTGCGTGTAGTACACCAATGTAATGTCATTAACGTCGAGCTGCCGGTACAGCCGCTGTCAGACTCACGCCGTCTAGGATGAGGTCTTCATCGGGCCGTAATTGTAGCCTGGTGTTTGAAACATGTACAATAGCCCAATTTACCACGGAACAAACGTGTCCCGGCTTCATCTCGGTGTCTTCCTGTCTGAAAGGAAATGGGGAGGGGCGGGGCTGACACGAGGTCCTCCGGGGTAGCTGGGAAACGTTGGCGTCAAGTCTCTCAGTGAGGCAGCCATGCAGATGCCCGGGCTACCTGTTCATCTCCCAGATAATTAATGTGTACAAGGAGTCGCTAATTGCACTTTTCACTAATGATTTATGGGCTTTGTGAGAGGGGGGGGATCGGGGGACGTGCGTGTGTACACTCTGGTGAGTGAGTACAGCTGGGTGAGGAGACATGATTGATGAAGAGTGTGCGGATGCACTGTTAGTGTGGAGAGATAGACCCCCCCCTCCCCCAGTAGGACAGGGCGAGTGACACACACTCACACATACAACTGGTCAATACAAAGATAACTAAACAATATCTACTCCCCTAAACTCTCATTCAGTTTATTCTCAGCCACCCCTCACTGAGACTGAGACTGTTGATAGAAGAGTACAGACTTCTAGGTCCAGTTAATATCAGAAATGGAATTAAACTGTCTGAATCGGAAGAGGCCTCGAATCGTCCTTGAATTGTCTTGGCATGTGTCTGTTTGTTGGGGAATAGTCAGTTTGAACCCTAAATAAACACCATTTGGACCATATTTGTATTTGGCAAAGCTGTAACTGCTCAGAGGCCCACAGTGGAACACTGTTAGAGGGGGGATGTGTGAACTGTGTGAATGTAAAGAAGGGCAAAGCTGGGAAAAGAGCATTCAGGCTTTGTTGACTTTCCCCTTGATCAAAAATGTTTTTGAAAAAATGTAAAGTTCTTTTTTTTCCTTTTTCTTGCTACAGCTTTTAGAGTACGACAAAGAGCTGTCGGTGTTCAAAGATCGGCTGCATGAACTGGAGATCTCCTTCCCACCCAGGTATGGAGCCAGCTTACATCACACACTCACACACTGAAGCCTAAATCATTCCTTTACTCTCTGATTTCTGCTACTGTCGGCACCTCGTGCAGTGATATCAGGTCCGTAAGTTGTCTTTAGCCACTCTAACGCGTCTAGGTACGGCAATTTCATGGTCCCCGGAGGATGAATCCTACCGAATTGGTGATCCCCTAACTTTCTTTTAGATAAATGTCACAACATCTTCATGCAGTTTGATGCAGACATTCATGATCTTTATGATTGTTGGTGATCTCCCGATCTAGTCGTGTTGTTTTCTGCTTAATGAGCGATGTGGCCCTTTCAGGGCTCTATAAGAGTGATTTTAATTTTAATAGCACAACGGCAAGTCTTGGGGCGCACAAACACATTTTCTGAAAGGAATAATGAGCTTTTTATTGGTTTATTATGCCTAAAACAATTTTCTCAAATTATGATTGAATACTTTATTTTTAACATTCCAAAATCACCAAATTCAGAGATGGTTTTTATGAGTTTTCACCCACACGGTGCCGTCACTTGTTGGTAAATGCAGCGACTACGCTGACCAGATCCTGGCCATAGGGACTCATTATTAATATGTAAAATCAGAAGCAGTTAATCACCCCCTTATTGTCCAAAATGGTTTTAAAGCTGTTGGACCTGTGTTTTGACGGGTATCAGTTGTTAAGTATGATTGGAAATGGTCCCAAACCTTCTCCCATGTGTATGTTTTTCCATATATGCGTGTGTGTGTGTGTGTGTGTGTGTGTGTGTGTGTGTGTGTGTGTGTGTGTGTGTGTGTGTGTGTGTGTGTGTGTGTGTGTGTGTGTGTACCGCTGCTCTTTGGGCGGCATTGATATTCCGTCTCAGTGGCACTTGGGGGAAACCGGAGCGGGGTGGTCTCCTCTCCTCTTCCTCAAACAAATGCATTTGCAATTAGCCCTTTCAGAGGAGAGGGAGGGCAAACACGCGGCCGGCGTGGAAATATGTTTCGGGAGCGGTGCGTTAATGGCGCTTGACCTTTGCCGCCGGTTGTGACTCAATCAGTGCAGATAATGAAACGCTGTAATCAAACAATAATTACTTGATAAACTGCTCTAGTGGCAGGCGAGGGGCGGCGGGGATTTGTGTGTGTGTGTGTGTGTGTGTGTGTGTGTGTGTGTGTGTGTGTGTGTGTGTGTGTGTGTG